CACACACACACACACACACACACCCACCCACACACACATTACGTTATTACTGGTAAATGTTTAAGTTAGATCTTCCATCTCAGAATTGAATAAATTTACATTTATTCGATTCTTTTTTATCGAAAAATAAAGGTTAATAAAAATGACATAACTAATTAGTTCATAATTTATTATTTAATCTATGATTTATTATTTATTATAAGCATGCACATTTTCGAGGCAACAATACTATGGTATTATATTTTTTATAATTATTGAAATAAGATTCTTGGATAATCAAACATGACAATTGCATTTATTCCTGTATTATGACAACTATATTCTAATGTTTTGTAATATAGCTATCAATTTTTTTTGTTTGAATGTAATTTAATATTACTTATATTGTATTACTTATATTGTATTATTATATTGTATTACTAAAGAATAACATAAGATATTACAATGAACTAATATTTTATTTCTTAATCTCCATTTTATTCATTTTGCATGACTACTCGTAGCGTTGTGAAGTATGAAAATATAGTTGACAAGTACTGTAACATCAATGATAATTTAATACAATTTTTGATTTTTATTTTACAAAATTTTGTAATTTTGTTTAATTATATAATTAGTAACACTATAATATCAATTTAGCGTCTATTGAATAATGTATACAATATTTTATTAAAGTTATTTAATAATATAAAAAATGAAAAAATAGATATAATGATCATATTTAAGTCTTTTAACTTTTTGAAATATATACTTTTTATTTTATTGGGGAATAAATTAATTAATTGTAAAAAAATTAGTTAAGAATTGTGATTATGAAGATATTTAAAGTTATACTTGTCATATATTGACTGAACAATGACATGATCAGAAAATTAATTATTACAAAAAAATCACATTAAATAGTGAATATTAATTCGTCTAAATGATTGATATGCATAATCAATGTAATAATATTTAAATTAATTTTCTCACCGATGCATAGTAATTTAAAGATAATGATGGCATAACGCATGGTATTGAAACAACTAATGGATATTTAGCCTTTAACATAATCATTTGTAGATATTTTTGTAGAGCGATTGATTGTTGATACCATTGTGCATCGAAAACAGCTTGCCCGATTTCACCACTCTTGTAAAAATATCAGATAATTATGCAATATAAATAAAATATTTTTTGTAATAATTAACGTACAGTTTGAATTAAATATTCTGCTGGCCATGTATACATAAATACTTCTGCTAATCCGCTAAAAGTTAAACCAACACATTGCATTTTCATGGATAATGGCGGATCCTATTAAAAATAAAATCAAATAATTGGCATAAGCAATGATTAGACACAAATGTTGGTTACAGATATGTAATTTGAGAAAGACTGATAAGACAGCGCGCATGTGCGTAGATTTTATAATAAAGATAACATTGAATACATTTTATTTTTATGCTCGCCATGCCATACAGAAATAGTAAAGAAATAGTTATAAAATTATTATTATAATTATGAAATTTTAAGTAATTAAAAATAACTTTCTGATTGAATGTTAAAAATTATTAAAGATAAATTATAACATATGTACGCATTATTTTGCATCACTTAACCGAATAAAAATCTTTAAATAATTTCAATTGCTTGTTATTTAAAAATTATAGCAATATCTCGATATCAAACTTTTAATTCTTTTAAATATTATTAAAATATGATACAATGTTATTGTATATCACCGTAAAAGGATCATAAAAGCGTATTTATAATGATTAAAAAAAATAAGCTTATCTAGTATTACAATATTGTTATATAAATATGTAACATTCCCAAATAATTTAATATCCTAAAATTTGATCATAATTTTAAGTTTGATTTAAAAAAACTTTGTTGTCTAGACTATTGTTAATATTGATATTATAATACTCACGGTAATAAAAACTAGACCAACTATTATTAATGCAAAAGTACTAAGACTTATGGTTGTCAATGCAAAGGGACGAACTACGACGATTACTTCTTCCGCATATCTGAAATAAATTTATTAAATAGTTTTGTTGAAATATTTTATTTTTTATGTAAATGTTTTAAAAAATTTTTTAAATATAATGTATTATAATAAAATTTTATTAAAAAAATTTTGAAAAGTTTTATCTTTAAAATGAGATAGATTGTAATGTTTGTCGAAAATTTAAAGTCATTGTTTTTGACATAACAATATATTTGTAAAACTGAAGATATTCAAAGAAAGATACCAGAAGTTTACTTATAAAAATAAAATCTTTTCTAATTGAAATATTATTGCAAATATTATATTATATTATAGATTGGACCAACCTTAAAAAATATGTAATACTCTCTTTGCTATATGTAATAATCTAATATAAGTAATTTAAATGTTAAATATTCTACTTTAGTTTAGTCTTTCTACTTTAATCTAAATACATCTCAATTACAAATTTTCAAGTAAAATAATTATTTAAAAAATCTCACTTTAATAATCTTTGATGTTTTCGAATGCAATGGATTAAATCGTGGATATTAGTGATACTTCGTAATTCCTCGTTCAATAATTCAAATTTCACTGAGGTAATCCAAAGCAAAAGAGTTATGAAGACATTCATACATAGCTGTGAAGCTGCCTGAATGAATACAAGAGATTGATGTATAAAGATAATACTTTTTAACGGTTGTTCGTAAATAACTCGGAATGGATATTCGGCGTTCGTCGGAAACGGTTGATTTAGCGTGACAGGTCCAGTGATGATAATAACAGCACTTAGATAAATCCAAAGTATAGATCCACCGTAGAAGTGAATGCATTTGTCAATGTATTGTCGAACAATTGTTTCTTCATGAGGCTTAAGTAATTCACAGAAATTTTCCATTTCAATTGTGACGTACTAAAATCAATTTTAAATAAAAATATTAAGTATATTTAAATACATCCAATAATAAATTTTATTTTATATCTCACTGTTGAAAATTAATGAATATATTATTTACTTGTAAACGATGCGAATTGACTTTACAGCATATGATATTGCAAATAACATGTATTGTAGGACACATAACGATTATTGATTTTGCCATAATAAGAGGTTCAGCAATGTGATTTTTAACTGTATTTATTAGTCCTACGGTTAATCCTAAAGTTAATATTAGACACAAGTATTGATATAATGTCACACAGATAATTTTGAGCTTAACTGTGTCTTTTGGAAGAGGCCAGCACCAGGTTACAAACATACTTAATTTTATAGCACCGATCACTTTCTTCAATGTCAAATTCTTCTGCATGATCATATCATATATGCATATATATGTGTTATGACAAATATATGCGAAACCTTTCTCGCTTAAAAAATTGCCATTTTGCAATAAACAAATATATACATACAAAACAAAAAATTTTCATGCAAATTGTTATAAAGAACTCTTGTAGATTTTTTATTTGAATTGAATATACTTCCGTGATATAATTCCCACGAAATGAGAAGGATAGATAATGTGTAAGATACTGTCTAGTATATAGATCTGTATTCTACAGGTATCTATAGCACTCATAATATAAATTATAAAAGAATATATATCTCAAGGGATGTTCAATGCATTTATTTAATATGTTCTTCTATATTCTACATATTTTTCCTTTTATTGAAAATATGAAGGAAACTTTCATAACGGTATTTTCTACTGTTTTTATGATGATTGAAGTATAATGTGAAGATTGAAGATGATTGAAATAAATTATATAGAATACGTAGTAGTTCAAGTAGTAGTTCAAGAATTGTTTTTCACTTTCTACCAACATTTGCTTTAGATATTATTTATTGTATAAGTTTCTCTAATCAACTGTAATTTTATTAAAATGCTTTCGAAAGCAAAGATGCTATCTTTTATTATTTTATATGCTGAAGCCAATAATATTACACTACTATGTATATTTAATATTATTATTGTTTGTTGATATAGCTTTTTTCAAATTAATTTGTATTTATATCAAAAGACACTGGTAATGTCTCATGTCAAGTGTGCACATCAGTGTATTATGAGAGTGAGATTTTCTTAATATTAATGTGAGTAGTAGTGTATCTTCATATGACTATAAGACGTCCAATTGGGAATATTTGAGATTATCGGAATGTTAATTACAACTGGACCGATTACATTTTTAATATGTTTAATCAATTTTAAGTCAAATTGCATAAGAAAAAATTGCATAAAAAAATTTCTTTATTCTTTTTCTTTAAAGTACAAATATAACGATGCGAAGTTAAAACATATAAATTTTTTATTAAAAAAACTGGGTACCTTCTTCTCCATACGATTGTTTTTGATTATTCTTCATACTAAAAAGTTTTAATGATAATAGATTATCCTTAATTTTCTTAATAATTATAAACACATACACACATACTTTTACTTTCATACATCCACATATCCGAAATCTCTCATTTTTGTATGTTTGTATATTGACACAGTATCTTGCAATTTTATCTATTCATTTTTTCATGCAATCATGCATCTCTGCACTTATGTATATACTTATATATTCATAATTCATAGTTAGATATACTTTTAAAAAATAATTTTGTAGGGGATTATAATAAATGATATATATTACATTGTTACATACATATACACGTATATTAAATTAATAATATAATATTTATTATTATTACATAATTTCTATATAATAAATGCAATATTTGAAAAAGTTTAACTAATTGCTTGCTTTAATTTATGTCAAATCCTAAATATTTTTTATACAATTCGATAAGAATATCTGCAAATTATATCTGCATAAAATATCTAAATTTATTCCAAATATAATATTGTTCGTAATGTCATAAAATATGAAAATGTAGTGGAAAGAACCTAGGAACGTAATTAATAACTTATATCAATAATTATGAATAAAACATGTTCGTGCATTAACTTTATCGCAATTAATATTTATGCTTACCTTTCCGCAAAATCTTATAGAAATTATGGATATAAGATTTGTGCCACTAATTCCAATTGGTTTCTGACATCTTTGAATAATTATAAAAATTGTCCGACGTACATTTACCGATGCATTTAACCATGGAGAATCATAAATTTGCCAACATATACTATATGACTATAACAAGAAATAAATATGACACATACACACACACACACACACACACACACACACACACACACATACACACACACACACAATACACAACAAAACAATATGTATTATAATATAATATATATGATATATTATAATTA